AGGCAGTATTACGCTTAATTTATTATTCTATGGACGATCATATTCTTAAAAAGTATGTTTATGCTTTTTTTTTTCATAATTTTAATGAAACTGTATCTTGTAAATAGGAATAGAAGAGTAAGTGTAAATGACAAATGGGTTGAATAAAAAAAAATTACATTTTTATGCTATATCCTTTTCAGAAATACGAGTGAGCAAATCTAGATAACCTAATTTTGTCGGGAGAATATGAAAATCACTTAAGATGCATGTATGTAGAGAAAACAGTGATTTTGTTGAAAACACGCCACTGATTTTGACCATATTGTCAAAATTAATTTGGCAAGGAATTAATTATATTGTCGCATTATTTTTTTCATTAGGATACAATATTCATTCAAATATATAATTTTATAAAGGTAAGATATTTAATTTATTAAAATATTAAGAAATTTTCAATTATTTGTTTTTTACACCACGTATAGATTATGCATAAAAACGTGTATAATTATAGTAAATTAAATTGAAAGCAGACATGACACAATTCGATCATATCTATATATTCAAGTATAGAAATTTTTTTTAAATATCAAACAAAAAAATATAGTGATACCTTTTAAATATCAAGCAAAAAAATAAATAAAAAATTGGATAACTGGGTGTGGGTATCGCCCACAGAAATAAATAAAGCCAGCAAGTTACCAAACCATGCAAATGACTGCTAGCAGATTTCCATATTTGCAATAATGATATGATTAGAGCCCAAAAAAACACATTAATTAATGAAATTGACTGACCAAATTGAATGACGTCTTAATCAAAGCAAAACAAAACAACTATAACAACCATGGATCCCATGTTTTGTGTCCAAATGCAAACCCTAACGTTGTTGTCAATGTCAAACTGATGAAGTGGAAACCTTATCCCTTTATTTCTTATTAGGAAATCACGAGCTAACCACCTATCCCAATACGCCTGCATATTTTTCGTCTGCAAAAAAAAAAAAAGTGCAAATATATTGTGCGTGTGTATGCTTTTTTTAATTTATAACTCACTTTCAACATATTTAAACAGACCAAGAAAAAAAATTTTAAACTTTATTAACCCTTCTTTAAAATTTAAATTTTTTAAATTTTACACCTATTTAATATATATTATACCTCATGTGAACAAAATCAAGATAATAATAAATAAAAGGTAAAATCATATACTCATATGAAAAAAAATTCTCTCTTAGTCCTATAAATAGAACTAAATTTTTTTTCTATCTTTATCTTATAAATAGAACCAAAAATATATATCAAATAGGGATAAAATTAAAAAGACTGAATTTTAATAGAGTTAATAAGATTTAAAATTTTTCTTGAATATGCTGTAAATACTCACTAAGGACTAAAAATATATATACACACATAGAGAAGTGGGTAGCCAATTGGACAAGACAAGAGGGTCCATTGAAGATCACATGCGTGATCATTTCAAAGGTATAGCTATGAAGGCTTCAATGTCAACTTTGATTTCACTAACCCATATTGGATTCTTCCTCTTTCGGCTCCCAATTAACCCTTTGGTTAGGGATAGCTTTTACTTTTTTTAGTAATAAATAGTTTTAAAAAAGTTTTAAGTTTTGAACCAAAAAATAACATAAAATATAATTACTTGTTAGGATTACTTCTCTTGTTCTATTTATAGGGTAGAGAGAAGACGTTTTTTGGTCCTATTTGTAGGGTACTGAGAGAAATTTTTTATATACATGTACAATTTTGTTCTTTATTTATTATTATATTCACTTTGTTTATATGAGGTATAATATATATTAAATAGAAATAAAGTTAAAAAATTATTGAATTTTAAATGAGAGTTAATGAAATTTAAAGTTTTTCCTGATCTGTGTAAAACATATTAGAAGTGACTTATAAATAGGATCAGAGGAGTAAATAGTTAATGGACAAGGATCAGCTGAATTATTCTACAAAACCAGTTGATGAATTAAAAACGATATTTCAAATGATGACGCTTGAAAACAAAGCAACACTTTTTTCCTAATGTGATGACAAATTTTCTTCGCTTATTTTTCCAAATTTATTAAACTTTCATCCAATGTCTGGTAATTTACCTTTTTAAAGTGACATTACCGCATGGCATTTTGGAAAAGCAACCTCTTTGTACTCACAAATGAGAGGTATGTCAATTCTTCCCCAAACTAGGGAAGCATAATTATTCTAAAAAAGCCATGATTTTTACCCCAAATTCATTGCCACCCTCTTTGACATGATAATAAATTTATTGATTTCAGGAATAACTATAAGAACTCTTAATTTAGCGTTCTATAATAATTCAAAAAGTCAAAGGGTTTTTTTAAAATCCATTTATGAAAAGTATTCCCAAACTAATTCAACTCAATAATGCTTGTCATAATTAAACATCATTATCTTATTATTAAAACAATTCCTAAATATGATGTGGTCAGGAAGTTAGCGTTGAAAATGATCAATTACCCATGGCCATGAATGAGGAGCTATAGCTAAGCTACCTTATAATGACGGCAAGCATGTGATCTACAGTTCAACGCCCTGCCAAAAATGCCTCAAACTGATTTGACATTTGAGTTCATTTGGGGGGCAAAAAAAAAAAAAAAACCCTCTCTCCCACAGAAACTATTTCTACAAATTTATCGGAGACAATGTCTAATTTATTATCTAAACAAATCTTTATGGGAGAGCATGAACCCTCCCCCAGTTTTGTTTTTTTAAAATTAGAGAGATAGAAATTAATAGAAGAGTGTCCATACTACTGAGTTATTGAAAGACTATTGATTGTCTAGGTCGTTTGAAGAGGTCATCTTCAATGGCACACTCTATTTTTTCTTTTTATTACATTTTCCCAAATATCCTCTACAGTAATATTAAGAACAAAAATTTAAGAATATCTGGTAGAGAATTAGTTTCAAATCCAACATTACTAAAAAAGATCTTTTAAAAAAAAAGCATTCTGATATGTAAGTATCGATTTAAATTAGTCAATTACTCGAATATTTGATAATATAATTCAGAAAAAGCGCTAGATATCGAGTGTGAACCGAAGGGTAATTGGAAAGAGGGAAAAAAGAACAGAACAAGAGGACATTCATGAGAAGATTCACCAAACCTTAGCTAATCACCACGTTGAAAAACTACAACTCAAATTGTCAACAAGTTAAACCTGTTGCATGGATACTTCTCATAAAACCACTTGATATGTATAGTTATATTAAATTATACTACTTCTGATCCTAATTATAAGAGCTAATTGACTAATTTGACGAGATTAAGAAAAAAATTAAATTAGTTATTTGTAATAAATAGATATTATCTTTCTTAAAATATCCTTGTTAATCAAGTGTATTGGCTAGAACTACAATTATCAGAAGGATTACCTTGAAAAAAATAATATGAATATGAGAGACAAAATGGATTGAAATCTTATATTTAGGATCAGAGGTAGTATTACATTATAAAAGAAGTCTTATATTTAAGACTGAAAGAGTTGATTTTATGATGAAGCATATGTGAATGGACTTAATTGAAAGTAATAAGTAACTAAGCTGGAAACATTAAATTCTTCTCCCAGTAAGGATCCATTGATTTAGACATATGAAAGTGAATGTGAGCTTCCTCCCCGTTTCCAGGCCATTTCTACGATCACACTGACCAGTGAAAAAGCTCTCTTGAGCTAGCCACCTACCGACCTTTGCTGGGGGACCTGAATCATTGCTGGCGATACAATTTGCAAATTACGCGCATGTACCTTACCTTTTTCTTCAATTGATTCAACACTTTCACTGAGAAAGAGAACCTTTTGAAAGAAAAAAGATGATGATAAAATATATAGAAAGAAAAAGGCAGAGAAACTAAAAAGCACAGGAGGAATAATAATAATAATAATAATAATAATAAAATCTAATATGGATATGTACCGAAACAATTTAAGTGGTAACACCGAGGCATCCAATAATTGATTAGTTCCATCCAATATTTTAATATAAATCTCAATGAATAAACAAATCAGGTTTATACAATCGTGCATGACCATATCGTATATCATTTTGCACAGCCAAGCCAGCCAGCCAGCCAAGTCCTCACCAACTCACCCATTTGATCAAATCAGTGCCTACCAGTTCATGTTTAATCACATACATGGTCAAGGAAATTTGCTAATTTTCTTACAAAGTAATCCATATCAAATTTAATAAATATATAATTTAAAATATCATCTTTAACTAACAGGATTTTATCCAGTTCTGTCTGAATCATAAGTATAACAGTGATTTACTAATTAAAAAGATTTTAAAAAGTCAAATTGATGCTTATGTACTCAATGCGGCACGTCAACAAATTTATTTTACTACAAAAATACGAAAATGTCAAAGAATATATATATGTTGTTTGGGAAAATGATTAAAAAGACAATAAGAATTGCAAAATCTCAAATAATGCATTTTGACAAAAATATGTTATTTATTTACAGGTCAATTGTTATAAAAACATATTAAAATGTTGTAATAACTTTTGATTTGAGATTTCACAATTTTCACGGTTTTTATTTTTTTTTTGTCATTCCTCCTTATTGTTTCCTCTATTTTTTTTATGGGTATTTGCCACAAATAAATATTAGTTGACCCAAAATTTAAAAAAAAAATTATATGAAGGGGAAACCAAATTATTTGCTTGTTTTGTTAAAATGGGGAAAAACCGAAATCAAAACCAAGGTCGGCTGTTAAAACGAAGCCATCAAGATTTGATGGTACTTGACCATTTGCCACAAATATAAATTAGGAATAAACATAATCAATTAATTAAATTAATCTTTATTTTGCATATATATATTTATATGATGAAAAAGTCGCCCCACCAAAACGTAGTCAAAAAACGACAGTTGTATATTATTCATAGTTTTAGCCAGCGAGCGTGCCCACGCTTCATTTATTGATGATGAGTCGTCCCTCAGACGCTGAAAACGAAAAAAACAATTATCGATCCTTTTTCGCCTCTCTCTCATCCTCTCCTTCTTTCCTTCTTCATCGTTTTGCCTCCTCCGTTCATGGCGATTCCTCCCCAAATCTTCCCTCCTCGTAAACGACGACCGTCGGCGGCGTCGTTTATCTCTCCCAAACTCACAGAGCTCGATCTCCTTCACTCTCTGCTTCACCTATCCCGTGAGATTTCCTCTCTCAAACCCATCCAATTCCTTCTCAAACGCAATTCCTCTTCCATCATTCGCAAAACCAATCTCCTTGCTGTTCTCTTCGAAGAGTTGATTAGAAGTTCGGTTTCTCTTTCCTTTCAATCTGCCATTCTGTGTTTCGAAGAAATGTACATAGTTCTACAGAGAATCAGGACCTTGATTGAAGATTGCTCCAACGGAAGCAAGATGGCGCTGTTGATGCAGAACGAATCAATTGCGGATAATCTTCACAAACTCACTGCGGATTTATCCACGCTTCTGGATATATTCCCGGTGACGGAACTTGATTTAAGCGAGGACGTACGGGAGCTTGTGATCCTCATCAGAAAACAATGCACTGAATCCAAGGCTTTTGTGGATCCAAAGGACAACGAGCTCAGGCGTGAGGTTGTCACGATGCTTGATCGTATTAAACGAGAGATCGTCCCCGATCATTCCAAGCTTGCAGATATCTTCGGGAGGTTGGAAATCCGAGATTCTTCTAGCTGCAGAGCGGAGATTGAGAGTTTAGAGGAGGAGATTCAGAATCGAACCGATGAGCAATGCAAATCCGAGCTCGTCGCTTTGATTGGACTCGTCCGTTACGCTAAATGCGTTCTTTTCGAAGCTTCCACGCCATCATCTTCTTCTTCTGATGATGTACCGCGGCGGAAACAGCCGTCGGAGATCGTTGTCCCGGCGGATTTCAGGTGCCCGATCACTCTCGAGCTCATGCGCGACCCTGTTGTCGTGGCAACAGGACAGACGTATGACCGTGAGTCCATCAAACTGTGGCTCGAATCAGGGCATAACACGTGTCCCAAGACTGGTCAAACTATGGCCCACACAGACCTCATCCCCAACCGTGCATTGAAGAATCTCATTGCAATGTGGTGCCGCGAGCAGAAGATATTTTTTGAAACCGCGGGCGGTAACGACAGGCCTCACGGCGTTATCATCAACAAAGCCGCCTTAGAAGCTACTAGAATGACGGCGTCATTCTTAGTCAACAAATTGTCTCTTTCTCCGTCCATGGAAGCCGCAAACGCCGTCGTTTATGAGCTTCGTGTGCTGGCAAAAACAGACTCCGATAGCCGAGCCTGCATAGCCGAAGCCGGAGCCATCCCTCTCTTAGTTAGCTACTTGAGCTTCAGCGTCGGCTCACAGAATCCAAACCTCCAAGTTAATGCCGTCACGACCATCCTCAACCTTTCCATCCTCGAAGCGAACAAAACAAGGATAATGGAGACTGACGGAGCATTAACCGGCGTCGTCGAGGTTCTTCGCTCAGACGGCGTCATTCTTAGTCAACAAATTGTCTCTTTCTCCCGTCCATGGAAGCCGCAAACGCCGTCGTTTATGAGCTTCGTGCTGGCAAAAACAGACTCCGATAGCCGAGCCTGCATAGCCGAAGCCGGAGCCATCCCTCTCTTAGTTAGCTACTTGAGCTTCAGCGTCGGCTCACAGAATCCAAACCTCCAAGTTAACGCCGTCACGACCATCCTCAACCTTTCCATCCTCGAAGCGAACAAAACAAGGATATTGGAGACTGACGGAGCATTAACCGGCGTCGTCGAGGTTCTTCGCTCAGGAACCACGTGGGAGGCGAAGGCCAACGCCGCCGCCACAATATTCAGCTTATCTGGCGTTCCCCCTTACAGGAAAAGACTAGGGAGGAAGACACGTGTCACGAGGGGATTGATTGACTTGGCAAGGTGTGGGCCCACAAGTGCCAAGAGGGATGCTCTGCTGGCAATTTTGACCCTGGCGACGGATAGAGAGACGGTGGCGAGGCTGGTGGAAGCTGGGGTTGTGGAGATGACGGCGGAAGTGATGGACGGGTTACCGGAAGAGGCGGTGACTATTCTTGAGGTGGTTGTGAAGCGGGGTGGGTTGGTGGCCGTCGCCGCTGCGTTCGGCAGCATTAAGAAATTGGGGGCTATATTGAGGGAAGGTTCTGATAGGGCCAGGGAGAGTGCGGCGGCGACGCTGGCCACAATGTGTCGTAAAGGGGGGTCGGACATAGTGGAGGAGTTGGCCTCCTTGCCGGGAATTGAAAGAGTGATATGGGAATTGATGGCCATTGGAACTGTAAGAGGGAAACGAAAAGCCGCCACGTTGTTGAGGGCTCTCCGGCGATGGGCTGCCGGTTTGGACGGTGCAGGGTTAACGGAAGGATTTTCAACGGCCATCCCTTCGTCAGCAACGATGGTTTCAACTCAATAACACGAGTATTTGTCTATTAGCTTCTTCTTCTTTTTTCCCCCTTTCGCCTTCCATTTATAAATCTGTAAATGTCTCAGATTTCATTGTTTTGATTTTTATGGTCACAGTCCTTGGAAAATGTAACATACGGAGGAGTTTCGTTTGTAATCTGATTCATTCATTTGTTTTTGTGCTTAAAGAATCTCTGGGGAAATCTTTGGGTAGCTGAAGCCTGAAGGATAGTGGAAATGACCTCATTTGTCAATGAGTTGAATTTGTATGATTGTGAAATGTAGCTCCGGTCCATGTGATGATCTGTATTGATAGAGAGAACAAGGGCATCAACATTCGGGAAATGTTAAAAGAAAAGGCAAATAATAAAAAGCGTTAATATAACTTTTAATGTCTCAAATTTTGATTCATCAAATTTTAAACTTAAAGACCAATATTTTAGATTAGAAAGACCAACCCTATTATTTAAAACTTAGGAGATTAAAATTAAAATAAAGACAAGTTTAATAGATAAAAATTATACTATAAAAGGATATTATCTTTCTTACAGATAAATTGGATTTTATAGAAAAGAGTAATATATTTAGAATAACATGCCAATTGTTTTTTGTTTGGTATATGAAAAGTAACAGTACTAAAAAGGGGTAAAATAAAATTATAAATAACTCTAAAAATTGTAAATAATTATATTTTAAATTCTTTGCGCGAATGTGTAAAATTGTTTTTAGTGATGAGCCAATAAAAAATAAATAACAATTCCGTTCAAAACACTATCAAACATTGAATGTGGGATCTCTCTTCAACAAAGATTGAATTTTGGTTCATCACTTTCGTAGACCCAACCTCCATTAGTGAGTGTCTCGAATCTGATTTCTTTTTTTTTGGTAAAAGAAAGTTTAGGTGAGTTGGATTTTCGGGATTTACCAAGGTCAGAGTAACTTCAGGTTCAGAAAGCATTTACAGCGGTACTTATAGATCGCCCACCAACAAGGTCCTCACATCAACAACGGGATTCGAACTTACGACCTTATAAGTTATGAGACGACTCTTTACCAACTGGATTAAGTCATGAGCCGAATCTAATTATTTCTAATAACAGAATATATATGCCTAACAAAAATAAAAATCCCCCAGCCTCAAGTTAGCAACATGGCCCATTGTTGACTAAGCCCAAAACACTGGGCCTGATGTTTATATTCCTCGTAACAAAGGCCAGGAAAGATTTGAAGCCCAGTTAGCACCGGCATGAAATGAAACATGTTGGTTCATTTTCAAAGTAGATTATATATAGCCATCAATCAGTAATCGAGGAGGTTAAGCAGAGCATCATATACATCACAAAAAAGTATGAGACAAGAAGGATAACACAGCCACGAGGTACATTGGTCGTCCTTCCTAAAGAATACAAACAACCCAACTTAATATAATTCAAATTAATTGGTCCCCTCCCCTTATTCATTGAATGCGCTTAATAACAAAGTTTTTGACACCATCCTCGTCTCTCTTCTTCTAGTACTGTGTTCTGGGACCATTTGAACTCTTTCAAACATTCCCAGAACTAACTAAAACTGTTCATCATCATCATCATCTTCTCCTTCTTCCTCCTCAGGCTTATGATGATGACAAAGAAGAGCATACTCCCAATGCAATTTCTTATTTACTTACAGGCCTAGTCATCATGCACTCCCCCTAAATCCTTCATGTACAATTCTTACCATTTTCTTGAAAGTCCAGAGATGTGGATTCATATCAGTTCTTGATTCTTTGTCTCCTTGTGGTGATGGACCATGACATCATAAAGCAAATTAATCAACATTCTAACTTCAAACTATTAGTGTCTGTATCTCTAATTCAAAAAATTTAAGATTTCAAATGTTCTTTAAAACAGAGAAAAGTTTTTATGAGTTGGGTGTTAATAATTCATTAAGGTAAGGATAGGCCTTAGCATTCAGAAAGCAGACAAAGAGCCCGTTTGGAACAGTTTATAAGTAGCTTATAAGCTGCTTTTAATAGTGATTTACGGAAGAAGGGGCAAGTATGTAAGAAGAATTTTCTCTCTACTTACGTGAAACGTACTTATAGAAGATTTTCAAAACCATTTTGATTCATTATATTTCTATCAATAATAGGATTAAAAAGTCATATTGGCCAATGAATCATATTCTTACCAAAATTGGACCAATTAATCTTTGTTAGCCGAAGGTTTTGGTTTTGATAATGTTATGAGTAGTTTATTTGTCCCAATTGAATCCAGATTCCAAAAAGCAAATATGGACAAAAATTTGGTCATTTGAGTCAAGTTCTACTTTTGATTTTTATTGTGCTTAAGCCCATGAAGTCGGTTTGAACATAACTTTATTTTGTTTTAATTTTTCGAAAAATTCTTCAACCTAAGTGGAGCTAAATCTGGCCCGTGATATAGCGTTTTACTTTTGAGTTTTGATCTTATTACAATTTCCTTTGCCATTGAATTGATATCTCTTGTCCAAACCTAGAGACAAAGGCACTAACGTGTGCAAGGGTTAGCTAGAAAATGACGGATACACGTGTAGGGTTGAATTAAGCTCTTGTCAATATACAAAAGAGTCAAGCTTTGTAAATTTCCATAACCTTGACATAAACACTATGCTGAACTATAGTTTGAAAAAATTAATCTACATATCTTTATAGTTTGTTTACTTAATTTTTAATCAGATCTCTATAGTTTTTTTTTTTATAATCAAGCTCTTATGGTTTTACCTCGTAACTTTTAATCAGGTCCCTATAATTTTGTTTTCCCTTTATCATATCTTTATGTTTTCATTTTATTTTTAATCAGATTCTTGTAGTTTATTTTTTTTTCAATCAGTCATCTGAAATATAATTAAAGTACTTATTAAAAAATAAGCGAAACCATAAGAACTTAATAAAAATTAATCAAAACTACAAGGTTGTACAATTTAATTTTTGCAATATTTTTTTTTGAAAAATATAACTATATATAACAACAATGGAATTTAGAGGTACGCAGGATGCATTAAATGGACCAGTAAGATTTTCTAGAATGGGCCCCCACGAGAATGCTTCCACTACAAAAGTTTCTCCCTTTACTTGTCTTTATACTTCTTTCTTGTGGTGTTCCTCACTTGGTTTGCAGAACATATTTCTTTTTAACCACAAAAGATTTGGTTGCTCATTGCAATAAGCCAGTATGTCTACTTTGTCCAAAATAGCTTCCATCTCCTGCCATTCCCAAAAGTGTATGTATGCTTCTCTTTTACATCTGAGTTTAATCATTATTTTTAGAAGTGTACCTACGATTAACTACGGATAGGATTGGGAGGTACTTAATTGGATTTATAGTCTGAAAGTTCTTGATATGCCCTATGATTTTTTTTTATTTTTATGGTCAAGCTCTATGATTGAAACATTAGTAATAAATGTCTTCCAAAATAGTAGGTTAATAGGGTGTCCCATGCATATATATACCACCTGTAGGAATATAACCTCGCATTAATAACTTCATTCTTATTGCATCGGTATATCAACATACTATTTTCGGTCATTAATATAAGATCCAATTGATTAATTCAAAAAAATTAAGATAATTACTAAATTATTTGCCTCACTTATAAATTCACACATAGTCTAATTATCTACATAACTATTTTAGAGAGATCATATAACATATGTTATAATTAAGTAATTTAGTAACTTAATTAATTTCCTCAAATTAGTTAACTGGGTTCTATATTAAGGACTGAATGTAGTATAATACTTTTTCGGTCCTTAATGTAAGACCTGATTGGGAGTTGATGTTGGTCTTATATATAAAACCGATTTTGCATGTTTGTCAATTTTTTTTAAATTAACTCTATTGATATTTTCCTAATAATAATCAAGTAGGACAGGGAGTGGGGAATTAAAGAAGATGCTTAGAGTGTTTAAAAAAAACATATCATATTAACTAATTTAACTAACATCGTTAATCTATTCAAATTAATTAATTAAATATTATATTAAGGATTAGAGAAGTATAAAATAGATATGAAAACATATTATTCAAAAGGCATGAATATATTAATAGTATGCCAAAAAAATGAATTGGAAGAGTTTAGTTGAAGGTGAGTAAGAAGATATCACCTTATCATGAGTAAAACTTCAAACAACCTTGAACCTATTCGAACAAAGTATATTATTTTTAGTTATAATATAATTAATTATTAAATATAAATTAATATCTTGCCCGGTCTAAGAAATTTATTATCAGAATCATATTTATTCATTGTAAAATAAACTTGGATTTTATGTAATAATAATTATTAATTATAAATTGGATTAATATAATCTTTGGTTCCTCAAATTTACCCTTTTTAGTTTTAGTTCCTTAAGTTTCAAACCATAGGTTTTGGTCACTCAAGAAACAAAATGGTCTAAGCTTTTATTAGATTATAGGGACTAATGTTTTAAATGAAAAGAAACCTAAGAGACCAAAACCTATAGTTTGAAACTTGAGGGACCAAAACTAAAATAAGGATAAACTCGAAGAACAAAGTTCGTATTAATTATATGTTCAATTAAAATCATTTTATGTTTAAAATTTTTTATTCATTCCATACACATTTTTTATTTACTTTTTGCTCGTGAAAACATAGTTTTAGGCCCAAAAAAATTTACTTTATTAAGGGCCATTATCTTTTTAAATTATTCCAAACTTTTTAAAGGAATTCTTTCAATCATGCCAAACAGGTGTCAAGAGAGAATTTTATCTGATTTTATTCTGCTGAACTCAAGTTGATAGGGTTAATGTTGATACTTTTAAAAGCAAAAACAGCTAGTATTTTGATAAGACTGAGAATGTGAAAAGACTCTAAGAGATATCACATGATCTGCATGAAGAGGGACTTCTTGTTGTTTTCCAAGCATGACAAGAAGGCTCATGCATGCAACTTTAATTACCAGATGGGATTTGTGCGCCACAGGTTTTATAATCCAAATAACATTAACAGTTTGTTTGGATTTCGGATCAATAAAAACTTATAAGCACGAGATAAAATTTCTCATATACTTAACTCGTATTTTATAAATTATGATTGAAAAGTTACTTATAAGATATTTTAAACAAATTCTAAACATTATTTCTAAGATTTTTTTTTTAAAACATGATATTATGAGTTATGGATTAGATTTTATAATTTAAATGGCACTAAACATTTTTTCATGTGTGAGGTTGAGTTCTCATCTCATCTCTACACTTATAACGAGTGGGTAAGTTAGTTAAAAAAAAAAAAAAAAACTTCATGTGTGAGTAAAACTAAAACCGGTACAGGAATGGTAACAAGAAACAACATTACAGCACTGCTGCAATATCTGCTACCAAATCTTTGTATGTGTTTGGTAATTAATTAGTGTGATTCATAAATCTCACCCTACCTCACTCATTTTTCTCTGTGCCAAACTTTTCTTTTCTTGTGGACCCCACCTTCTCTTCCACCAATTCCAAAATCCTCTCTCTCTCTCTCTCTCTCTATCTTCAAAACAGACAAAGCCATGGAGGCATCACCCCATTTCATTACAAAAGAGCTTCTTCAACTAGGAACCACTTAGAAGCTTCACAAGCAGAGGAAAAACACATACGCTGAGAGGGAAGAGAGAAGAAGATGGGGAATTATAGGTTTAGGTTATCAGATATGATCCCTAATGCTTGGTTTTACAAGCTCAGGGATATGGGGAAGAGGAAGAACCAGGCAATGGACAAGAAGAAGAAGAAGAAGAAGGAATCTTTATCTACATCGACTCCGACAACCTCAAAGACATCAAAACCAAAGCAACCCCACCAGAGCATTCCCAGAAAGTCTTACTACTTTACGAGGGAGCTGAATTGTCCAACCGATAGGATCTACACTTCACCACCTTCCTCAAACCCCAAAATTTCTGTTTCGGACACCAATTTCCCAGAAACACCCAGAAAATCCTCGTCCAAACAGAGACCTAAGAGAAGAACCACAAAAACTTCTCCGAAGCTCGTGTCTTCCTCCGTTTCTTCTGGCTGTCACTGCCGAACCACTCTCGAATCCGTTTGGACCAAGTCGGATTCCCCAGCTGACAACTCATCGTCTCCGTTTGATAGCTCTGTCGAATCAGAATTCCCAGAGCCAGAGTTCAGAACAGACCGTGTCCTGCCCACAGAGTCGTCATTTGATGATGATTGCAACAGCAGGCTAGAGTTTCACGAAAACGACATCGTAATCGACGTGGACAAGAATTCTATCGCAAGAAAAGATGATAAGCTTGATGGGTTGGATCCATTTTCCGAGCTGGAACTACCTCCGATCATAACGAAGCCAACGAAATTGAAGAAAGAAACCAGAGGAACCAAACCCAGAAACAGAGGGCGCACATTCGAAGAACAGGGGAATCTGAAAGTCAAGATTTTGAAGGAAGACCCGGCGCTGAATAGAGAACAGAGGACGCCCCAGGTTCGGAGATTCTCCGTCAGCTCGCCGGGAGTGAAGATTCGGGTGAATTCCCCGAGAATAAGTGGTAGGAAGAGTCAGGGGTATAGTGGCCGGAAAAGTGTATCTTCGTCGTCGAGGAACTCCCGGAGAAGCCTCTCCGATAGCTTTGCGGTGGTGAAGTCGTCGTTCAACCCGCAGAAAGATTTCAGAGAGTCAATGGTGGAGATGATTGTGGAAAATAATATCAGAGCATCGAAGGACTTGGAAGATCTTCTTGCTTGCTATCTCTCTCTGAATTCAGATGAGTATCACGACCTCATCATCAAAGTGTTCAAGCAGATATGGTTTGATTTGACCGACACCCATTAGAATTTTAGAACTATTAAAACCAAAAATCCTCAATCAATTTCTCTGCTTTTATATATATATAGTTGCACTTGTGGATATGATATCTTCCTTGCTTTCCTCCTAGTTTGCAAAATCTTAGCCTCCAATTTCATAATCCATACCCATGCATTGCAAGATTAAGTTAGACAAAGAACGTAATTGTATCTATTTGCATCTTCATTATAGTAAATCAATTTATTTTCATGCATTTGGATATAAAAAGTTATGATTATGCATCCAGTCTTATTTTTAAAATGAATGTGAGGGATTGGTTTGGTTGAAGAAACACGGTTGAAGAAGAGTGAAATTTGGGTATGGAATTCAGTGTCCGTACAGAGCCAAAACTGTATAAAAATGGTTATTTATGAAGGGACCAAAATCTGACAGTTTCTTCCATTGAACTTTGGATTTTTACCACAAAAGAAGGTGCCCTTTAAGTACAAGTTCTTATTTTCATGTGTTTCCTCACAAATTTGAATCCATCCTTGGGTTGGCCTCCCCTGTTTCTCATTATTCACGACACAGAGCCTTTCCTTTTCTTTTTTTTGTGGAGTCTGAGATATCAGAAAATGAAAGAAAAAGCTTATAAATGAATCAATAATGAATGGATTCTGAATCTTCAGGGAAGGGCCAGTTCAGTGATTTTTCTTTTGGGGATTTTGAAAAATGAAATGAGAGATTCAAATGAGTGAGATTGAGATACAGGGGGAGAGAGCATCGTTGAACACGATGAAGCTAGTTGGACCCCAAAAAAAAATAAAGTGCAAGAATTTTGCTGTGGGGGTTGTCTAAAGGTCGAGCAAGTTTAATTTTCAAAAGATAAATAAAGTTACTTCGATTATTACAAAAGTGCTTTTAAAAAGTCTTTGAGGGACATATAGGTTTATGAGGTTATGACTCTTTTGCCTTTGGTTTTTACTAACCGAAAAACCAAAAAAAAAAGAAGCCTAAAGTTGCTTTTTCCTATTTCGTGTTAGTTTTCAACTGCTCCTATGATTATTTATTTATACCCTGCTTTTAACATGCCTTAGCTGAATTAAGAAAAATTTTAAGCTTAGTTATTTCCACCTTAAAATTGGTTTTTTTAATTTTATCTTTATTTAATGTATGTATATATATTTAATAAAAATATTTTATTAAATGATAAATTAGGAGAGAAATTATCATTTATATAATAAATTTGATGAAGTGAGTTATGTCAAAGGCAAATAATAATACTCTATCTTTATAAATAATACCAAATAGTAAAAAGGACAGACATGTTATTTATTAAATTAATTCCCTTTGCTAAATTTTGTTTATTTTTTGAAATATGTTACGTATTTTCTAGATTATCTATTACTATCATATGAAAATAAATAGAGCAGCGAATTTTTGTCTTTTAGAAAAAAAACTATATCCTATGCTCTAATTAGCGATGAAATAGCAAAACACTTGACAATTTACTAAAATCTTTACTATCTTTTCCATAGATGAAACTAAAAAAATGTTTGGTAACTTTCAAAAATGTTTCTAAAAAGCATTTTTTCATAAAACGAGATAAACTCTTTCACATATTTATTTCGTAACCTGTAAAAACACTTTGAAACTATAGTTTGGTTTCTATTCAAATACCCTTTAAAACAAATCAATGTTTTCACATGAAAACGTCAATGGATATACAGTAGCCTTGGTTTTTTAAATATTAACAAAAACAATTTTTTAAACAAAAGAAAAATAAAAATTTATCCATAGAGACATAAAAGTGGAATGACAAATGGGGTAAATTTGTCCGCGTGCAGGACAAAGCAGATGTTATACTTATATGGCTTCACAAACCGACCAAACCATCAAACTATTCAAATCTTTTGAACCCAAAAAACAAAAAAATTAATAAAAAAGCCTGTGACTCTGGCAGGACCAACCTAGCTTTATATTCTTACTTCACTTGTTCATGTAAATTTTTTTTGGTCAAAATCTATTCCATATTTATGTATATATTATGCCTTTTTGTGTGTGGGTATTTTGATCTTTCTAAGATAAATTAATTTAATTATTTTCATGTCTCACTATCTTCCTTCACATCCGCTAATCAAAATACTGTATACACTTATATATATATATATATATATAGTCATATGTCTTGTCAGCTTGTCTTTCATTTCATACACACTTAGCTAGCTGCACAGATATAACAACAATTTGTCATAAAGCACTTCCATGAGTCTTTTCTATGGGTAATGCTGTGAGTTCAATTATTAGGTGAATGATAACAAAACAAAAGATATAGGAGAATTTGAAATTCAGTCCTTAGATATGTGTGGAAGAGCAACTCATTTGAAATATAAATTATTTAAATTAAAATTAAAGTAATGGTATAATTTCCTAGATATGCGTAACAGTAGTATTAAAGGGAGAAATTACTGTCTCTTTAAATACTATTACAACTTAAAAACTGAAAAATAAAGAAAAACTAATGTGTATTGTGTTGTAAATAAAATTTAAATAGTGTAAATCTTATTTTAAAAAAAAAAGAGTACATATTTATCGTGTAAATTTGAATCAACTAATTATGCAATCAAACTTTTGATAAAATATTGTTGGGACTGAAGCCTACCATTATTATTCTTCTTGTCGTCCCGAAAATGTGAACTTTAGTAAGGTTTTTGAACTTCTATTAATTTTATAATTGATTGATGTCTCAAAGTCATAAGAACAAGACGAGTTATGCACAATGGAGCTTCACGCGTACAAATAAACACCACTTCATCCTTGTTCTAAGTTACTTTCCTGGTCTTATTTATGAGTTACTTCCAATATATTTCACATAAATTAAAAAAAATCTTAAATTTTATTAGTTCTCATTTAAAATTCAATAATTTTTTAACTTTATCCCAATAATAAATGAAGAGTAAAATTGTATATCCATACAAAAAATTATCTCAATATCCTATAAATAGGATAAAAAAATATCTTCTCTCTACCTTATAAATAGGACTTGAGGAGTATTTGTAACTCATTCTTACCTACTAATAAATATATCAGTAAATTTTTAAAATCCGTGCTTAATAAAATTTTCACTCTTTGCATTTAGTAATAATTCCAAACTCTGGTTATTTTCTAAAAACTTTTTTTCTACAAGTAACTAATAAAAGTAACAGTGTGTGTGTATAATTCTCTTTTTCCCTAACAGAAAACAGATTTGATGTGTTAGGTCACCAGAAGACAGAATCATGAATAATATAATATGTATAAGTGTCCTGTAGTTGGGAAAATGCATGCACTAGACAATAGCATCAACGATCAACGATTTATATATAATATGTTTCAAAATTTGTTAATTTTTTTAACAAATCATGAATAGTATGCGAAAGGTTAATTTCACCTTTGTACAAGAAGGGCCCGCAGATATTATCCTATTATATATAAATAATGCACACCTATTAACACTAGGCTAGTGACCATGCGTGTGTATGTTTGAATTTTGAAAAGCAAAAACTCCTACCAACATGTTTCTATATATATTTTATTTATTTTGACCATTCACATACTAACCACACAAATTAGACGCAAAAGCTATCATTTTTTTCCAAACAAGATTGATTTTGTACCTACTCTTCATTACCCTGCTGTTATTTATTAATTTATTTTAATTAATGTTGATCATTAAGTATGTCTATTTTATTTTTATTTTATTTTTTAAATTTGACCACGTACTATCTTAATTAGCTTAATTCAAGGAACGTAAGGAACACGAAATTGTCACATCGCAATACGAGAATACAACAGTTTCGATCATCGATGAACATTTATATTTGGCCAAAGAAAAATGAACATTTATATCTGTATGTCTAAATATGGAAAAAAATTTGTATAGTACTCAAAATGTGCAAATGCCTAGGCTACTCTAGCTACGTATTACCATAGAGTAACTTTAAGAATGCAAGAATTTACCTTTTTTTGATCATTAATAATTATTTTTTTAATCATTCACTAGGTCATGCCTCGCTAGTTGGAGATCACAACTTAAGGATCAAGTTAATTCATTAAGTAGTTCATTATAAATTAACGATGTCAGTGCTTGACATTAATGATAAGCTTTTCCTTAATCTTCCAATGGTTTCATTTCTTCTTAGAGTGTGTTTGGGTGACATCTCAAACCATGGTTTGGGGTGTCAATCACCCAAACACCCCCTCTAAAAACCAAAACCATGGTTTTGGAAAAAGTAAAAAAATTTTACTTTTGGAGAAAAAAGGGAGAGTGTGAGAGCCTATATGATATGTATCTTGTTATTTTTTTTATAAACATATTTTTTGATAAACATATTTAATCTTATATTTTATAAATATATATACACATTAATTATTTATTAATTATATTATCTTATGTATTATTAATTATGTTGGTAAAAAATATATTATTAACAATTTTATTCCTTCAAATTAAAATATATCATAAAATCTATTTTTCTGTAATTATCATATTAACTTATGTCTTTTTTTTAGTAATTTGTATATATAAAAAGTGCTTCTGATAACAACTATCCAAACACTCTCACTTCTCAGAATCACTTTTTTACAAAATCTATTCTTCACAGAATCTATTCTCCCCAGAATCTATTCTCCAGAATCACTTTTCCAAACCACGGTTTGGTTTCATCCAAACACACCCTTAATGTTTTACACAAACCAAAGTGCATATGGTGACCAAAATTAAATAATTGATATTGATTGAACAACAACGAACCATAAACAGATATGACTAAAGATACATTTAGTATCATGAATATTTTTTTAGGTATATCTAACATTTTGATGCTATTTTTTTAGTCACATCAAGTACCTTAGTTTTTAAAATACTGGAAGTATTATAAATAAAGTTAGAGTGTTCATAAAATCAGGCTGTTGGATGCATCTGGAAGATATTCACGGTAATAATGGATGTACTTTACCCTATGTATATTTGATTTCTAAATGTATTGAGAGGATCACGTTTTGGCATAAGATGGGAAGTTTTGGAGGAACATATAGTATCCAAAATTTTAATGTAATGTGTCGGCGAGCCGCAGGGAGGGGCTGAGTCAAAAAGACAAAAAAGAGACAGAGACGATGAAGAAGAGACCGCAGAGACGACACTACAAGCTATAAAAAAAAACACAAACATATGCGTAGATTCTGGGTTTTGCTTTAAAGTTCTACAGCAATTAATGTTGTCATGTCCCTCTTGTAGATGCTGT